GTTAACAGCTGACATCAGAGCTGCTTATCTTATCAGTTCAGGCGCAGACGCAGTGTATTGTACTGAAGTTTGTAAGCAAGCCGTATTCAGCAGATATTGTCCACATATCTCTGTATAAAACGGTGGTACTGATCATACAAAGAACCCTTTTTTTCAATAATACTGCTAGTCTAAAGTAAGGTTAGGCTTCCATATCACGTGTGATGAAGACCTCGGCTCTGGAATATGAATATCAACATCGTTCATCGAAACAAGATGTGTTGAAATTTTCTCGACCTCAATTGAGAAAGCAGATCAGTGTCCACATATACAGTCCGGATATCTGACGGAGGGCAACAGAGAGGGCCGTGGGGCCCCGGGAATATTTATTGGCACGTTCCTGCTGTTGCTCATGAACTGTCACTAACACTTAGCTTGCTGTTTCGTCAAGCCCATGAACGACTGGGTCCATCGGGAGCTCCCAGGCTACAATCTTTAATTTTTCATTTTTTTATTTTTTTATTTTGTTTTGCGCGAATGCTATTCTAAAATTTCCAACTAGAAGGGAGCAAGGATTATCGCTCTTAATCAAGATATCAAGATATCCAATTGAAGCATGGATGACGAAAAATCCAGGGATAACCGTTCCGGTCCTAAGAGCAGAACCCACGTCCAGCAAGAGAGCCAAGTCGGCAGTGGGTTGTCGCATCATGAGAATTTAGAAGGGGAACGGTCAGGATGGAGAAGAGAGTACCACAGAGAGGATAATGGGGTGTCTGCAGGCCTCACTAAGCTTGCTATCCCAGATGCCCCTGAAAATGCCGACGATGAGTTGCAAAGAGAATGCACCCGAGAGGAAGAATTTCAAGATGCTGAGCGTACCGAATCACTTACCGAACTTGCAGTCCCACCTCCTATAGGCCGTGTACCATCTCATCGGGGTGACTGGGCGGCTCTCGAGAGCGCTGAGTCTAGAGTTACAACACCTGTCCCTAGCGCTGAGAATGTCACTAGGAGCCAAACGAGGTTATCGAAATATGCTACTCACCTTTATACCATTTCATACCTTGTGTTATTCTCAATTCTAGGTGTGCTTGCACGGATTGGCATGGAGTGGTTAACTTCTTATCCTGGCGCTCCTTTAACTACAGGAGTTACGTGGGCAAATGTAGGAGGCTGTCTCTGCATGGGATTCTTAGCGGAAGATCGAAAGTTGTTTCGTGAGGAATGGGGGCAGTGGAGACCAAAACATTCCAGACGTGAATCTACCAAATCTAATATTGCTTCTAATCGCTCTGATCGTAAGCATTCCCCACGTCCTGTCAGACCTCACAGCCGTCGGTTCTTCCACTACCATAGCCACCACCAACGGCAGCAGCAACAGCAAAATGAACAACATGAGCAACCCGAACGAAAAGAAGAGCAATCAGAGCGACCCCTAGACCCAGCCCAGTCCCTTGAAAGGCACAAAGCCGTCAAAAAGACCATACCACTCTATATCGGCCTAACAACCGGTTTCTGTGGTTCCTTTACCTCCTTCTCCACCTTCATGCTCGATGTTTTCCTCGGCCTAACAAACGATCTCTCAATCGCAGGCAGCCCGTATAACCCCATCCCCCGCAATGGTGGATACAGCTTCATGGCCGTGCTGGCCATAATAATATACACTCTCTCCCTCAGCCTCAGCGCCTTACTCTTCGGCGCCCACCTTGCCATATTCATAGACGAGTATACCCCGATAATCCCCTATCTCTTCACACGCAGGTTCCTCGATCCCCTTGCGGTTTTCCTAGCCTCTGGATGCTGGCTTGGTGCGGCCTTCCTCGCCATCTGGCCACCAGACCGTTCTCTTGGTGTCCATGAGTACTGGCGTGGCAGAGCGGTGTTTGCCATCGTTTTCGCGCCGCTGGGTTGTTTGTTTCGCTTCAATGTTTCTCTCCTGCTCAATGCGCGCATACCTAAGTTTCCCCTCGGAACTTTCGCTGTGAATATCTTTGGGACTATGGTATTGGCTATGTGTTACGATCTGCAGAGAGCTACGAGGGTAGTTGCCTTGTCTTCCGCTTCGTCTTCTTCCTACGCTTCTGCCGCCGCTGCGATTGCCGCGGGGGCAGTTAGTGTAACACGTCTAACGGGCTGCCAGGTGCTACAAGGCGTTATAGATGGGTTCTGCGGGTGTGCGACGACGGTAAGTACGTGGGTGGCGGAGCTGGATAGTCTTGAGCATGAACATGCGTACTTTTATGGCCTGGTTACTGTCGCTGTTGCACTGGGAGTTTTGGTTATTACCGTTGGTTTGTTGAAGTGGACAGTTGGTTTTGGACTTGCGGTTTGTTAAAAATGAGGTTATATTGCTTATAGACATATATATCGTAGCTGGCTGATAAAAAGATCTCCTAAATTATTGAATCTGCCTGGCGGGCATGATGTCATCAAATACAGACGTATAACGTGAAACCCCTTTCGACCCTTCCTCATGCATCATAAAATACAGCCCTCAAAAAGGCGGAACCAACAAAATAACCAAAAACCAATTCATACCCAGTCCAAACGCCAGTTCCCAAATCCCCTACATCCATACACCCTGTCATAAGGCTCCTATCATCAAACCCAAACCACTCAAATACGACCAACCCACCTCCGAATCAAGGTCAAGACACATCACAATAACCTACGCATGAGTCCCGCCCTTGCTTAAACAATCAACCCTGCCGTCGTATCCCCAAACCCAAACCCATTCTCACCCGTGCCGTTTCGGGTCGACCGATCTGGTCTCTCACCAACGGCTCCCGAAACAGACAATTCCGTCCCTCGACCAATCTCGTCATACCCGTTACCACCTTCCAGGCCCTGCTGCTGTTCTTTCTCAGCTCTCCGGAGGCGTTCTTGAACGGCAAGGGCCTCGCGACGGGTGGCTTCTTTTGCATTGTTGCGCTTTTGGGCAGCTGTGTTTTCGTTATTTTGTGGAATGGTTGAGGTGACGGGATGTTTGGTATTGACTTTATTTATTTTTATTTTTATTTTTATTTTTTTTTATTTTTTGTAGTTCAAGATGAGGTGAGGGTTGAGGTGGGATGATATAAGCGTTGAACATACCCTGCCAGAAATATGAGTAGAGCAGCATTGTCACAAGCGACAGAGCTATGAAGCCGAACATAATGCCCAATTCTCGTGCCATTGATGGCACGGGCATGTAGGGTATAGGTTCAACATCGCCAGGCTTTGCGGAGCTGCGTGGTCCAGGATAGCCGTTCATTTTGTACAAAGTCCTCTTTCTTCTTTTTCGTTTATTTCTTTTTGCAGTGATTCTTGGTGTAATAAGTCTGATTTCTCGCCACTCGTCTTGCGTATATGGGAAGATCAAAATCCTTTTTCCAAATAAAAATTTATGAATATTCAGTAAAATGGTGGCAGACGGAGGATGAACTGGTCAAAATCAAAAATAAAAATAAAAATAAAAATAAAAATAAAAAAAAAATCCCCCAATTCTGCGCAACTAGCACCTCATTAGCTCGAGATGCAAAAACGTTCGATATTACTGCACGCGAGAAGAATGGTAATAAATAGGTGACTGGGTATTTTGAGGCCGTGTGCTCTCTTCTGTTTGCAAACAAAGAAACCAGAGATTTAGGCTTTAAGCTTAGATGCCCCTCGAACTTAAAATGCATAATCGTCCCCTGGGAACGACCTTAGAAAGGGGCAGATGAATGCGGAATCCAAATGCTGATAAACGGCCCAATTGAGAAAAGAATAGCTCTTCCATACCCTAATCCGGTGGTATGTTTAAATCTCCTTCGGCTTCAAGCACTATTCCTGCTTTTGTGTTGCTCTGCTGATTTCCGAAGCTGAAATAGTTTCGAATTTTATCGATCGTGTGGAGGATGAAAGATAGGTGTATCTTAAATAATATTCAGCCTGTGGTTGCTCGCTTTCTGCCTGTCCTTTGTTTCAAGACATCCTTGTCTGCGAAAAGTAGCCCTGGTCTTGCGCTGGCCAGGAAGAGATGACGGTAACGCAACGGTTTTGGCTGCGCAAGAAGGGAGATGGATCGAAAGATGACAGTTTGTCTGCAGTTGGATAAAGGGCAACGCTGGTGAGGATAATGATGACGACGGATGGATAATTATTGATCTTTGATGGGCCGCACACACAACGTGGAGGATCTGCGGGACCCGGAGTGGATTGAGTCAGCAAGCCCCAATAACTAAACTAGTTGAAAGGTCGGTTCCTTTTTAGCTTTTTAGCCCCGCAGTTTGCGACAGCGAATATTTCTCGCAATAACAATAATAACCTTGGAAATTCACTACTGGAGAAATATCGGGATGCGCAGATAAATGAAAACGGTGGGATGGAATACGGAGTGCAATTCCAGCATTGTGTCGGGTTTGCCGCACAGTAATAAGGACATAGGTAACTTGCTCGAGGGAAAGCCATCGATGACGACCTTCTTGGGATACAAGTTTTAACAACAGAGCGCACTTCTACAGATGGGGCTACATACTTAGGTAAATAGCAGATCTCGAATAGCACATAACAATGCTGTGGTTTAATATGGAATTTCCCCCACAGTAAGAACAAACCTCCTAGATAACAGTTCATCAGGAGCAGTTCAATACTATCCCATAGAGCCTCAACAGCGCACAGCCTTGAGCTCTGAATCGATCGGGCTCCATATTCACCTGCTGTACGTATCTGGCTCTGTGGGTAACTGGGGACAGATGTCCGCCCGCCGCGATCTTGACAGATCTGCAGAGGTAACATATTTTATGACCCAGCCCGGGACCCAGCTCAACGGGATCGACATAGGGTAAACCTGAGGTATGTAGCACAGAATAGTGATCCTGCTGCATATGAACAACAGTTGATTGTATCTCATGATGTTGCTAGATTTAAATATAATTAACGAAATATTCCGAGAACGAAGAAAATGCCCAGGAAACTCAAAGGACCAGCACATCTGAATCGCGGCGGAAGATATCATTGAAAACTTTTTTTTTTAATTGGGTGTGTGCTCTTCTCTTCTACCACTTTACTCTGAATTTTGTACAGTCGTCTTGAGCGCCACGTGCAGCAACCGGCATAAGGACAGGCTGATGATTGGCTGCGGCGGCCATTGTACAAACTCGGTAGAAGCCTGGCTTCTCAAGACCTTTGTCCAGAGTCGCGGAGAGAATGCCGTCTCCATTAGCCTTGTTTCTAATGCCCTTGAACCAAATTGGGTTGCTCGCATCGAGAGGTGTCTGCGGGTTAATTTTGTCTCCCAAAAACTGGACCGTGACATGTAGGTGACCTTCAATGAGGCCTTTTTCATTTACTAGCTGTGGTGCAGCGAAATATGTCTCAGCGGGATTTGTGAAGTAACCTGTTGCAAGGTTTGTAACTCGGATCCTAAATTCAATTGGTTTGTTGACTCTGACGATGTCATCTGGGGCGGGAGTCAGGATGATGGAGGAAACCATATTGTCGACCGATGGAATGGCACCCATGGCTGATAGTAACATTAGTACATATGAGGGCCATGGCCGATATTCTCAGCATCCAAGTATAGTCGAGGAACACTTACGAATGCCGTTGCAGGATCCTTCATTGATCTGCAGTCCGTTCGTTCGGGGACCCCGTGGGGCGCAAAAATTGATATGGTTGTTCTGCGCCCTGTTCACCAGTTAGATGCCTCCCTGGGAATCTCCACAAACCATCTAACTTCCATACCTAAATAGGTATATTGCAGCTAAATATGCTTTGGGGTACTTACATTCGAGAACACGCGTATCCCTCACTCTTCTTTTCGGGGCTCCATCCGTTCGATCGACTTGCATTTTGAATAGACCTTTGAGATAGCAGAAGAGTTTTTTCACTCTCCAGTAATCTTCTACCGTTGGTATAACCTGGGCAACTCGGGTGGTCCTCTTTGGTTTGCCCTGACACATTGCCAAATAAACAGGCTGCGGAAGCCCAAATTGATATAAAGATCCTCAAATTCATACTGTTCACAATCCAGCTGTAGCTGCACAACCAGTGAATAGTGAAGATGAATGGCAGAGCAGTCTGTACATATATATGGCCTTTTGTTAAAATGAGGCCAATTGGAGGGACCTTGTCAGGGGTAGCTGACAACGCACATTTGTGCACGGTGCATTATTAAAATATAACACTAACTACTAATTAGTTGAACTTTGTTCAGGGATATTTAAAAGCTTGACAAAGGGAAATAGGAGCCTGATATAGCAACAAAAATCCCAAACGGAATGTTTTTAGGGAGTGTAATGTATAGTAGGCATCCCCCACGATATGGTGCTTGGACTAGGCTTAGTTCCCGCCTGCAACAGATGAGGCCGTTCAGTAGCATCTAGATTTCTATGCAAGTTATGGGTGCCATGGTTGCCATTTAGACAAAAGAATTTTTGTGATCCAGTAGAAGCGTTAAGTGAGACTTGATGTCAGTTATAGTTTGTTACTGCATCCCAACTTTTTGAGGGTTAGACTGTGCAACCATCTTGCAAAAACTGGTCAACTTCTGCAACCAAACTGCCATGTTGTCTATCACAACGCCACATAACGTGGATGTTGATGACAGCTTCTGAAAAAGACCTTCTAAATAACCAAATAGAGCACCAAACATACCACCAAGTGTGCTAAACACAATCCTCAGGCATTCAACACAAAGTCAAGCAAAGGTTATGAAGTACTTTCTCATGCTCAATCTTCCTGGACATATGTGCACAAAACCTGATTGTCTGGTTAAGTTTGAACACAGCCTGTAATGAAGGAAAAGCAACCCCTCCTTGCGTGCAGCTTGCCTGATGACATGACGGTGGGGGCACAGGTAGATGAAGATTGTGTAACTTCAATACCTGAATATGGATAGTTTCTTGATTTCAGATTCTTGCTGTAAATACCTAAAACCAGTCAGCACAGTGAGACGTGAAAAAAAGTCGCGGAAAACACCAACTCAAGTCCCATTCTCTCAGTCATGAATAAAAGCTGTCTTGGAGGTGGAAATCCAAGTAGTTAGTCAGCCCGTCTATAGGATTGACAGACAGCAATAAGAAATGTTAAGAAGAAAAGACAAGAGAAGTGAACAAGTTGCACAGTTGCATCTCAGAGAAAATGGTTGAATGTGGGGATGTTGGTTAACTTAGTTACATCAGCGACCCTCACATCTTCCACTGTGAAATTTCTATCCTTCCAGTCTTTGTTAAATTTTGTTGCGTATTTCGTCGGTACCTTTCTACTCCGAAGACAGCACATGCCTTGTTGATAAAAAAAAAAAATAAATAAATAAATAAAAACCAATACGGGGCACACTTCCTTGACAGGCTTATACTCAAATTCAACCAAACCCAACATTATATCAACATAGGACTCTCGTCTCGAATCATCGACCCCCTTTATATTGGCCCCTGTTAATCTTTACAGACATCGCAATGACCGTCATCTCTTCCCCACCACCAAAGGCTCAAGCAGTGATTTAGCGCTAACCCCGTTGCTTCTGCCCTCTTTCCACGATTCGCTGCCTAGGAGCACCCAATCCAATCTCCCCACGAGCAGGCGTTGGCCATGGATACGGAACAGCAGAAAATAATTGCGTATATAACGCCTGCTTCCATCGACCAAGATGGTCATTACGGGCGAAGCTTGAGTTGGCTTAGGTACAGGGCTCGTGGTGGATTCCCAACGATTACTCGCGAGTCTGGCTGCGGGGTTAAATATGAGGATGACTCCTTGGATTCTGTTGATGCGACTGGCAGCGGCGGTAATTTTGAGAGTGATTGCGGCAGACTGGGAAGTGGGTTTCAAATCGATGTCTGCGGTCAAGCAGAGCGACAGCGCCAAAAGGTGGTCCAAGAAAAATTTTATCTCCGCACTTTTTTCGTCGGGGGGTTGAGAATATGACTCTAAAGAGGGAGGTTTTGTCGTGGCAAATACGAGACGCACTCTCCTCTCCAGGCATGCGGTAGTTTCGTGCCAGTCCTCTGTACCACATACCTCCTATCCCCTCCCGTGAGCAGGCACTCCATATTGAACACGGCTAGTTAGCAATAGAACCGGTGCTACTCTCCCTTCAACCTATAGCGGAGATTGTTATCCAAATATCTTGGCCTCACGCCCTTTCTCTGGGGGCGATAACCGTGAGGGCCCGCTGGCAATAGAGGCAAAAGAAATTTCAATGTCTCGGCAAAACGAGAAATGTTGAAAACCCTTGCGACCATTTTAAAATGGAACTGCCAGTAAGTCTCCAGGTTAACGGGGGTTTTGAAAGATGAGATGAATGTTCATTACGTTCAAAAAATATTCAATTCTTAAATCCGGCCGTCCGCCGAAAAATAAAAAAAAAAAAAAAAAAATGAAAGAATGACAAACAGTTCATGAAGATCAAAGGAAAGAAAGAAAAAAGCAAGCGAATAAAACAGTTGGATGCAATCAAATCTTGCATGCTTGGCTACCACTGTTGATGCCACATGTAATAAAAGATATCCATGCATACAACAGACTGACGAACCCCAACGAATATGAGCAAACTGCCCTGGACCGGGATACAGTTGATCCAGAATACATGAAGTTGGTTCGAATTGCTTGAAATCTCTTTTACTCTTTGTGGGACCGGATTCCTTGTTGCCATCCAAGAAGGAGAGTTGAATAACATTTGATTCTCCTTCTGATTTGGCAGTCGTCTCGGGTCCAACGTGCGGCAGCGAGGCTGATATTTACAGAGCAGCAGTGTTGACTGGGTTCCGACTGGGCGGTTGATAAATATTTACGGAGGTTGTAATCGGTGGTTGGCCAGGAAACAAGTGTTTTGCGATCCTTTTTTATTGGTCCGTAGTTTAATTAAGAATGGCGCTAGTAAAATCATATCCATGGGTTATTTTAGCTTGGCGCGGAACGCTTAATATAAGCCCATTAAGGTTTGGCCGTAGGCCGGAGTGGAGAGAATAGACTCAGAGAATTAGATGTTTGTAATCGATATGAAGTGGGATAATGAGAGAGGTAGCTCTGGTTTATAAACTTGAGTGATGTCTATGAAGCATATATATATATATATATATGTGTGTGTGTGTGTGTGTGTTTTGGTTCGAAAAAACCCGTCATGTTTTTCTTGGCGATAATATATAGTTAGAGAACTTTCAAGATTAAGACAACTACGGATATTCATTTCACATCCAATGCACCAAACTCTCATTTGAAATATTGTTACATGCTATCAAAGCCCAAGCAACACCTCCCAATCTGGCGTCACCACAAATTTCCCGGTAACTTGCGACATCGCCCATACCAGCGTCTCCCCTGGCTCCTCCAAAGTCCCACCATCTTCCCCAGACACCTTGGGATTCCCCTCCGACGCCACAATCGCATCCTGAAGGAAATCCACGTCACTCCCCTTAGTCAGATCAAAGCTGATCCCGCCCCAATCTATTGTTGCCCTCCCGGACTGGTGGATGTTTAGCTTGCCCACCCGGCCTGGTGGGAGGGAGGAGTTGACCGCTGTAATAAATTGTGAAACGCCGTTGGTATTGTTGTTGATGACCGAGGTAGGTTTAAGGATGGCGAGGCTGTCTGTGTTTTCTCTTTTAATCGAGGGTATGGCTGGATTCTGGGTTGTTGTTTGTGCACCGGTTTCAACTACATCTTGGTCCGTCGCATCTACAGCCCGTGTTTGCGCAATAAGATTGGGTGTCATGGGCGGAAATTGGATAAGGAAAAGCCGCCCAGAGCGCTCATCCTTCGGAGCTTCAAGAGCTTTAGCCTCATCTTCCCGGCCAGCTGCTTCCTCTCCTTCCGCCGGTTTATCGTGGGTGGTTATTGTTCCCAACGCCTGCCTGATATGTTCTATATCCTGCGCGTGAAGGTCCCACTCTTGCCGCTCTTCCTCCGTCTGCAATTTGCTTCTCGGATCCTGGATAGCGACCCTCTTCTTCTTTGTTTTTGGTTTTGGGGGAGCGGATGTTAAAGCGCTGTCGTCCGTGGCTTGCGGTATAGTGTCGACCATAAGCACATCCCCATCCTCAGTAGGCTCCTGTTTAATTCGCACTTCTCTCTGCGCTGCACGGCCCAGAGCTTTCTCCGAAGTAATTTCAACTTCCTCTTCACTCTCAATTACACTATCTGCGTCTTCATCCTCACTCTCCTGCACAAACAAGCTCTCATCCCCTCCATGCTTCTCCTTCGCCTTTGCCTTCGCCTGCCTCCTCAGCTCCGCTGACTTATGCGAGCTCGCATCCGTGTTAACACCAACAGACCTCTCCTGGTGTTCCTGTCTCTCAACCCGAATAGGCCTCAACCCTCTCCCCGATCCCCCAGACACAGACCCCTTAGCCGGCATTTTCCTCTTCCCCTCCTCTAACTCCACATTATCTCCCCACCCCGCTTCCTCCTCTTCATCACTAATAATATTAATCTGCTCAATGCTAAACCTCGGTCCCCCATCGCTCTCCTCGTCTGACGAAACATCTCTACTTTCTCCCTTTCCACCCTCCTCACTCTTAGCTGTGACAAGCCCATGCACCCTCTCGGCTCCCGATCGACCGCCATTACCAAACTTCAGTCTACCCCCTCCAAACCCACCTCCTCCACGACCCCGCATCGAGATGCCCGATCCTAACAGTCCTGAGCCATCTCCACCAGAAATCACCCCTCCCCTCCCTCTCCCCCTCCCCCTCCCTCTATCCCTATCCACACCTCTAGCCCTAGCCTCCGCACTCCGCATCGCAGCCACCTCCCTCACCTTCTCCTGCATCCTCTCCGCCTCCCGCCTCTCTAACGCCTCGCGCTCCGCTTTACCCTTCCTCGCCACCGCACGCGGCTGATAGCGCAGTGTCGGTTTGGGCACCGTGCCGTCTGGATTTAGGGGAACGAGGGAGCCGGTTGGTGCACGCTTTTTGAGCGATTGGAGGCGTTGGACGCTGCCGCGGGTTGTTGGTGTGGCGCTGGCTGAAGGTGCATTTCGAGAACGCGGTTCACTGAGATTGGAGCCTATTGGGGCATTGTTCGGGTTTGTGGTTGTGTTTGAAGGGCCTGAAGTGGATGTGGCAGAGGAGCTGTCGGTGGGGCCGGCGGTGCGGCGCGAGAAGGCAGCGGGCCGCCCGCGAGTGTTGGTGGACTTTGGAGGCATGGTTACGTCTGTAGGGGATGTTAGAAACCGTGCGAGTGGTGCGCTTGTTTCAATTGCTTTGTAGATTTGATTATTTGGGGTGGTGAGAATGCTCTGTACTATTGCCTGCCGTGTTGGTCATCGATGATGGCGCATGATTGGGGTGAGTCTTTTTCGCACTGGGCAATTTTCAATATACTGGAATTAAGGATTATAAAGGTGCATCCATTCACTGCCTTAATAAGGAGCACAGGGGGGATATGACAATGAGCAAGTATTTAGAGATGAGAAGTGCAATTCGTCGTCGTACGTTGCTGTCTGTATCTTCCATTCATTCGGTTTCTTGATAAATCATTTCTTTGGGGGATCTGAAAGCTGCCTCGGAGTTTCATTATTCCGCCACTCAACAATTAAAATTTCCACTAGGCTATCTATGGTTTAGCTTGTTTCGATCCAAAGCCTGCAGGATCCGCGCTTTCCAAATGGAGCCACCAAGCAGCCTTCCAGTTAGATCTTTGAAGCTGAAGAGGTAAATTATCAAGTCATGTATTGTTCAAGGATATGCTTGGTCCGGTCCGCAGAATGAAGCAAATCATATATATAAGTAAATTCTTATTTTGCTACCTAGGTAATAAGAATACAGACGCAGGTGAAAAACAGTACTAACTTTGAAAAAGCAAAATCGCGGAGAGGAAAAAAGAAAGAAAAAAAGAAACATTACAAAGAGAAAAAGTCGAGATAAAAGGGAGTGAACAATAAAAAGACATGTACTGCGTGCAATTTAATTTCAAACAATGAATTGTTCAATACAGGGAGAAAAGGAGATAGGGATAAGTGAGAGGAATTTGAGAGATAATATAAGTGTATGTATCATCCTGATGGCAAAGAACAACGTAGCAAGAAGCAAGGGAATAGGATGACTGGATTTTATCTCTCTTCGGCGTAGAAATGACTGATTCAGGGAGAAGGGGAATGGGTTGATGGGGCTTTTGTTTTGTCCTCTCCTGCCGCAGATAATTTGATTTCAATATCCTTCTCTCGTGTATAGAAATTGTCTCTCTGTTGCATTTTGCACAATTGCTTTTAGTGCTGCGGGCTAATCTCAAACACACAGTCCAACAATATCCCGCGGTCAAGAAGGATAAGTGTTGCGCCATGATGTAATAGACAAGGCAGTGCTCACAAACCTGACTGGTCATGAATGCCTGGCTACACTGCCTCAGTTGATCAACACAGAAAAAGGAAAAAAAGGAGAGAGGAAAGGGTGGGCAACAACAAAAAAGAAAACAAGATACACAAAGTTAAAATTCAAACATTTAAACACTAAAATCAAGTGGAAAACCCCTCGAAAGCAAATATAACCATGATAAACATTTGCACGCAGAAATTCAAAAACTCCCGGCATTCACTCAAGGAAATAATCGCTCGCTAAAAGAGAGAGAGAAAAAAAGAAATATAGATATGTCCGTTGCACAAGAAGAGAAAAGACCAATGGAAACGAAGAAATAGGTTTGGGCAGAAAGAGTTACGAAAGATATTGAATATGAACGGAGGTTCCAGATGGGAGACTTGGGTGAGATAAAACGCGCAAGCAAGTTACGTATGATGAAACGAGCAAAAGTGTCGATAGCATTGGTGGTGGTCAAGTTCTTGAAACGGGAGGAAATTCGTGGGAAAATAAATCCAGAGGACGTTAACCCCCGCGAAGAGTCCCCGAGTAGGCTTTGTAATAATTCTTAATGAGGAGAAAGAATCAAAAGGCCATTAGTGGGGGGGGAAATAAAATAAAATAACAATGCCGGCAGGGTTGGACGGAAATTTGTATGCTGGTAAGGAGAGGTGGGACTAAACGTGTGTATGGTGTGGTGGATTTGGGGTGACAAGACAGGGAGGGATATTTCACTCGAACAATTCAATTTGTAACCGTGAAAAAATGCTGGGAGAAGAAATCGGGCTGTTGCGCACGGGCGAGAGTAACACTGGCGCTCGTGCCACTAAAGGTCAAGCGAGACCTCACATTCAGCGACACCGTTCTTAGGGAAAATCATTTGTTCTATCCCGTTTTCTTTCTTTTCTTGTTTTTATCAGAGACGCTGGAAGACGCCGTAGAAGCTGCCAGGGTTGGTGGGGCAGGAGGCTGGAGCCCTTCAGTCCCCAAGGGGGGAGCGGCAGTGTAACCGCCAGGGGGAGCAACAGCAGTAGCTGCAGCAGCCTCATTCTTCTTTACTGGAACTCCCATATGGCGACCATATCTGCCCTTACGGCCATTGCCCTCATCCTCGCTAATACAACCTTCAATGCCAATACCAGCATCTTTGCATCTTTGGCAAGGACGTTGGCGATCGCAACCCTTCTTGCTTTTGCGGCATCGCTGGCAACGAGGCTTGGTGGACAAGTCCTCTTCATCGGCGCCAAGTTGGTGCTGGAAGTTTACTGCAGAGGTTGACATTTTACGTGATGAGGAAGGGTTGGCCATGGGAGGAAGCGCGGTCGGAACTGCAAGTCCTTGGTTACTGTTGCTGTTGCTGTTGTTTGCCAGGGTCTTGTTTTTGCGGACAGTTGTGGCGGGGCGATTTTTAGGCTTAGTGGTTTTGGACGACGAGCTTGCTTTGGTATTTGATGCCTTAGGGGCTGTCGAGTTTGATGCCTTGGTCTTCGGACGCTTGGCCTTAGGGGCAGAGTCCTCGTAAGTCGCGTCGCCATCATGTTCGCTTTTGATAGTGGCTTCATGCTTAGGTTTCTGATATTCAGCGTCGAAGTCATCGCTGCTTGGGTCGCTGCTGTCGCAGCTGGGGAGGATTTCATCTAAGTTTTTGTGGTGCTTCCTGATGAATCCTGGAGGGAGTATAGGGCTGGAATCCAATTTGTGCCTCGAGCGTGGAGGAAGGTCATCATCATCTTCGCTGGCCTCTGCATCTGTAGTGGCTCCTGTCGATGACGAAGCATCAGCAGCACCACTGAATGCGTCGTCAATAGTAGAGGCAGACATACGCCCATGAGAAAAGTTGGAGACGTCTCCAAGTCGAATCAACTGCATAGCAACATCTTCGTCAGAGATGCAGCTCGCAATTGTCGGATCTGGAGTCGGGAGTATGCCATGACTATTGGAGCGACAGGCAAAGTTTCCGAATCCGCCAACAGACTGTGTGCTTGTGCGATCGCGGAGTCTATGGCTATGCTGAGCATTACCGGGCGTAGCATATGCGCTGCTTATAGGTGTGCTATACCCGTAGGGTGTGTCATGACGTCCATAACTTTGGGGGGAGGGAATGGGCTGTTGTGCTTGGTAGGGACGTTGGGCGGGTCTTGCGAAAGGGGAAGGGGCCTCCTGTATGGTTGATCGTCGTTGCGGAGATATCGACGATGTTGAGGTGGTCAAAGGAACCTGAGGAGGCACAAACAGAGGTAGTTCCTAAAGTAACAGTAAAGAGTTAACTACTGCTGTTGCTCAAGAAGCACTCGCAGGAAGGTGATTCGAGAACTCTTACCGAACTCTCAAACTTAGGACGTTTTCTTCTGCCATCTTGCAGTATATTATCCATGCTGATCTCAGAGCTAGCAAATTGTTCGCTTCTAGCTTTCTTTGATCCTGTCATGGATCCGTGATCGTCATCGTTATCGCTGTAAGGGACTACAGCGTCGTCATGAAAACTGCCATGGCTGCTTGACCCACGGCTCTTGTTTCCAGAGCGAGAAGAAGCCTTTTGAGCAGAAACACTGCGGCGACCTCGACCAGCAGGGGAAATACTTCGTTTCCTGGCAATTCTCGAGGGTGGTCGGGAAGGCGATTGGCCATAATCGAGAGCCTGAGCAGGCTGCTGCAACTGAGGTTGAAACGGCTCACCAAGATTAGGTCGCCGACAATTGTTCATATGACCATAATATGCCGGTGTACTATAATTATCGGAATAACTATGGCAAGGGATGACTCTGACATATACCGTCATGTTGTTCCGTAGATTCTCATAGCGTGCGATGAGCGTGTTGCCATTTTCATCCTCGAAGCTCACACCGCTTGCTGCACCTTCGTAGATGCCGTAAAAATTTTTGACCGTAGTGACGATCGAATCAGTGGTATCATGAGGAAATATCTGGACTCGCATGGGGATTCGTGCTCGAACCTTCGAGTTCTCATCTAAGAGAAGCTCGAAGGCAACATGCTTGGGTGATGGGCTGCATGGAGACGGCTGTTGGAAAACAGCGGCTCCGCAGTGACCATCAATGGCAGTGGAAACATTAGGTGGGGTAGAATAACCACCCTTATGTGTGGTTTGGTTCTGGGGGGTGGTAGAAGCCATGGTGTTCTCTGAGGATAGACGTGGTGGAGTTTCAAGGTACCCGCAGGACAGCGGACAGCAGAGCAAAAGTTGGATGCGACGGCTATCCGAAAGGAGACTCCTGAGTTCCGTCTATCTCATCACACCGTACCAAACTCCCCGATTGGAAGAATTGGCTAGAGTTGTGTAAGATCCCGACTGACTTAGAGGGGAGGTTAAGTGGTTTCAAAGAAATGGGGGTCGATTGCTGCGCAAGAGACGGAAGGAAAATATCAGACAAAGGTACCAAGAGTTTGTCTGCAGAGGAGAGAGGAGAAACGGTTAGTACCGTATAGATAAAAACGCACAATAGAGATAGAGGAATAGGCGCTGCGGAGATTGTGGGCTGTGAATGGGAAATACGGGTATGAATGGAAGTGTAGCCCAGGTGAGTTGGCAGTGTTTTAACACTGGGATTCGGGTAGCTAGCGGTAGGAGAAGGGAAGGGAATAGTGCAGAAGACAAGGGAGGGATAAAGGTACCTATAGTGAATCAAAGTAGCTTAAACAGAGTCGCAGATGTATGTTAAGGATGATTCCAAAGTAACACTGGTGATGATGAAGATTCACTGTGGTGGGTGATGACCTCGTTGGTCGAGAGGGCAGGCTGTCTGGTGCCAAATGCAGGTTAGCGATTGAGCGAGTCAAATACAGCAGCACAGACAGGGAAAAAGAATAGAATATACTACTTACGTACAAAGCGAGACGAGAGACGAACTAGAAGTTGCAAACCATCTACGGGGGTATGTTGAGAGGGTTGAAGGATGGAGGGTGTGAGGTTGTATGAAGGGTGAGGAGAATGTGAGGATTGTTGCCTGAGGCGAGGTTGAGTTGAGGTGAACAGACGAAAGCCAGGGTGGGTGAACGAAGTTGCGAACCCTGGGGGTTTCACACCAACGTGGGCTCGGTTCAGCGCAAATAAACTCCACCAGCCAGCCAGCCAGAGGAGCTTAAAGAATCCTGTTATTTCTACTATACGCCTGGTTTTATCCATTGCCTTCCATGTATGTAGTATTTGGCGGGGATTTGCTCCCGTCGTCGCTGTTTCATCCTTCAAACTCCTCCGCAGTTATCCAGCGCATATCGCACTGTCGCAGGAAGAACAGCAATATTTGTACCTACTATTCCATCCTGCCGGATGTCAATTTATCAAAATATTACGGCTATCTGGTTTCTGCCAACCAATTCACTCTCTAAGGTCAACGCGACAGTTAATACATCCGTTGGTTTGGGTGCTGGTCGTTGTCAGCGCATATGCATTCTCTCCAGCTAAGCGAATACAAAAGCCCAAAAGAAGCAGAAAGAAGGAAATAGGAAGTATTAAAAATCTCCTCAGAATGCGACAGTTGACCCTGCTGGAGTTCCTCTATATAGGGATAGGGGAGATGCGTTGAGGAGAAGAAAGGGCAGCAGAAGGTTCTGATTGAGAGGTTCCATTAACTACCACCTTCACCTCTCAACTCCCCGCCTAAAAACTACATACTTCATTGGTGTGTCCAAGGTATTTGCGCAAGAGGAAAGAAGGGTCTCCACGCATATAAAGCCAAAGGGTTCTAGCCGGGTAAATGTTGTGTGCTCTTGGAGCCGTGATGGTAGTGGAATGAGGAGAAATGGGTCAACTGGATCCCTTGTTTTCGTTGGCGGGATTGATTTGCCTCCAGCTCCCGCGGTGGTGCGGTGGCCACGTCGAAGCAGTCAAATTTATGTATGTCACTTTTAGTCGGGCGCCCGTTCGCGAACCCTTTCCCCATGCCAATTATTTAAATGCGATCCTGGCTGACTGACGGTTGACAATGGCAGATCCAGAGAGTCCCATCTTTTTTCCCTTCCGCTCTCTTGATGATGGAAGCACGGATGGGATGGAATCCGGTTTTGTCAAGAATACCTCCATACCTATTTTTCCTTCTTCCAGTTTTGTATTGAGAGGAAAGTCCATGTTATTTTATTTGCTCTAACGTTGTATTAACCTATCATTTAGCTATGGAGAACCAGTGGTATTTGATTATAATTGAGATCCTTTTATGAATGGATGCACCCAAAGCAAGAAGGAGGGGGAAAAAAAGGAAGAGAAATGAGAGAGAAAACAGCCCGAATATCCAGCGGTTCAGACTACCCGAATGAATATCAGCCATGGCCCACTTACTATTTCATCAGCCCAGGCCAGCGCAAAAGCCAGCAGTTAAACAACGCCTGACTCTGGCCAATCACGAGAAACAGACATCCGGGCTGTCGCACTGCGAAATCTTCATCAATTTGTAAGTGTTCCATTAAAACTAGCATATTGGTGATAAACTATCATATCTTGAAATAATATATAAATTGATTTCATTCGTGTCTACAATGTATGTGCATACATATCTTTTGGCAAAGTGGAAGAAATTAATTATGTAGAGGGGATGGAGGGTGATTCGCAAGTATTTCGAGCGCAGATTCTCAACTAGTTAGCTCGTTGGTTTGACAGCAAAGGCCGGGATTAAATTATCGCATCCATCCTTGGGCACTCTGTTTTTCCGGACCATATTCTCTTCTCGAGCGATCTCGGAAGAAGAACTCTACTGCAGGAGAAGAGCATCCTTTACATATATACGGGGTAATTAGTTATGTCTTAGGACATGGATAATAGGAAAGACAGACAAGACATCGAGCCGACCTTAAGCATCCGCATGCGCCTGAAAAGAAGTATCACACAGAGCCGGCATGGTCAGCTGCGTATATTAACTATGTTTGATATAGTACATTTTTTCCCAATCAGATGCAATCGCTGTGTGCAAGGGTTGAGTGGCTCTTCCTCTGTCTATCCCCAGTAAAATTCGCAATCAATAATAATCACGAAACTGACACCTGGCACCGGGCGGGCATTTCTGCCCAGATTTCCTCTCTTCTGTTTAACTACCCCTCTGTCGCCGAGATAAGTAATCTAGGATTGGGTGAGGAGTGGTTTGTTCTGCTGAGGGAAAGGAAACATAGTTATACATAACCCCATCTTATTAAACCATCGTTTTTTTTAAAATTTTATTTTCTTTATTCTGCTACCCACATCGTCACATCTTTAAGTTGCATGTGCGTGTGAGACGTGAAATGAACTCCAATCCTGCCATCATTTCACGAATTGATTGGATCGCAAAGTCTGGGGTTCCTTCTCTCTTTCAATGGATTTAGTTAAAATAAATAGGATGGACGGAGACGACTCATCACCTCCTGTTCCTTGTTTTATCTTTATTTCCACACTATTTTGCTTGCTCCCACCAAAGGACGAATGGGTGTTTATCAGTCAAGAATTAAAGAGGAGGATTAGGCTAGCTGTGGTTATGCCGTAACAACTTTGTGGAGTTTTATTATGCGACATGTCGCCCATCGATGACTAGGGTGGAAGAGATGAACTGTTGGGACCGTCAACAGATTAGACCAAGAGGCGACTTTGACTTGCACTGGGCTTGACTTGGCGGGTGATAATGTGTGCTGCTGTGGGCTTTCGGGTTTGTGGGCTTGTGGGCGGCTGTGCTGGCGAATAATGCCAGAATAAGAAGTTATGGGTCCAAACACGCTTTTTCCACATGGAGAAAACCATCAGGAAATCGGTTTGTTTTATTTGTTGTGCGGTGTTCGGAATATCGTATCTTGCGTTATGATCTAACGCCTGTTTGGCCGCCACAAATCAATGACGGGGATACTTTCTTGCCTGAAAATAATAACTTGGCTTTAGTGTTTCGAAAATTCCGAGAAGGTTTACGAATGGGCATGATCCCAAAGGTTGAATCAAGAACGGTTAATAATCCGATCGAGCGCTGAAACAGGATTGGATGATAACTTTGGCATCGAACGCATCGAACCGGACCCATATAGTAGGTATCTTGCAGTATGCAGAGGCCTTTAGAGCTCATCATTATAGAATTTAGCAATGTTTCCACACCTGCTAGGGAGAGATGTATGGTGTATCTTGACGCAAATTCACATCGAATGGAAGGGTAAAACTTTCTCCCAGGTTTGCTTCGATGGGCCTGCCGTCGAGGAATGGCCAAGTTTGGCCAAGTCACGTGGGCTGGCGTTGCGGCGTGTTCACATTCACGCGAGGATGCAAACTATTCAAATACGATTCATTCGCTACCACCAGCGATCGCATAAAGCAGAAGGGCTAATAATTGAGGTCGCATTAATGTTTTGAATACCATTTAGTTTTGTATGTTCAGAAACAAGGCATAATTAGACATTCACTACGCAAGAAGTACTTTTCAACAAGGATCGGAAGACGTGTTATGGAGCTCTTGTATATTGACGTAATCATTTTCTCTTGGCTCGCGTGCGCTTTTACCCGCCGCTAATCAATATCGAGACTAGCTTTGTTTATCGCTCCTGGCATCAACAAATCAACAAACGAAACATCGCAACAACCGACAAAAACAACAACAACAACAAGCGCCAGCAACAACATTTCCTCTGGTCCCGGCAACTGACCATCTGATTACCATCAACTACCTTACTCGCTCTATTTAATGGCTGAGCGTTGCTGATTCCTCCTTTCCTGGACGTGCCGGTCCAATTTCTCTCAATTGGCACTGCCTTCTCCGAATTTGGACGAGAGCATCCAGGAGAGCCCAGATACAGCCCTCGAAATCCCCCGCTGTCTAGGTGGATGTAAACATTGCCACTCCTCTTTGTGGCCCATTTGACATAGATATATCAAGTACCATATCTTTTACCACTCGTATCAACGCAAATATGGATGCAAAGGTATCGGGATCATCGCCTGTTCCTCTTGCCCCTTTTGGTGTATATAGCGTTGATGTCACCATTTTACCCCATTGTTTTGACTGAATCTTGACGTAGATTCACCTTTTGCTGATGACTATTTCTCTATCCAGCCTCAGCGACTTAGTCGTCCTCTTCGTGTACGGGGCGATGAGAATCTCGCACCCGCCGTCAACGCTGCCGGGAAAACCCTCCACCACCGCAACAAATCAACTCCGTCTTTGTCAACGTTGGCTGGACCCAATGGGGTGAAAAACACTGTTAAACGCACTGCATTCGGGGATGTTAGCAATACAGTAAATGCTACGCGATCAATCAAAGATGATACATCCGTGGCTTCCAAGGGTCTATTGGGAGTCGTTGAGAAACCAACCGCCTTTTCTCGACCAACACAACGGCCTTTATCGGTTTCAGGTGCTAAATTTGCCCTTGTCAATACCAATGTGATCGATCCAACTGTGAAGAATTCTTCTTTGGATAAGCTGAAGGCTAATCCCCGGAAAGCCTCTAGCAAACGCAATACCGTGTTCAAAGACCTCGAATTGCCTTCTGTGGTGGAGTCCGAACCTATTAGTTCTCAGAGCCACAAGGCTCAAGTCAAGGACACGGAACCGATTGTCCAACCGGTTGAGTTGTTAGCACCTATCGCCAGTAAGAGTGCAGTAACGAATGTGAATCCGGTTAATGCTGCTGCGGTTAAGGCGGACCATCAGATGAAATCGGATCTGCAACATTCTTCTATATCTACTAGCTCCGATGATTCTCCTGCCTTGCGATCAGATGGAGTATATGTTGAAGAGAACGGCGAGATTAGAGTTTACTCGCGTCATGAGAATGCCGATGAAATGCCTGAGAAGCCAAAGCCTGTTTCCAAGACAAACCCGATCCTCACTAGCGAGCCGGAAGTGTTACCTACCAAAGGTGTCGTTACTGAACTCCGCACTATTCCCTCCGAGAATCCTTGCCCACCTCGCGTTAGGCACGATCATGTACAGCTGCCTTCAGAGCCGGAGGAATACTGGGACGAAGAGGACGAGGAAAACTTCGAGGAGGATGGTTATGTCACCGCTCGTTCCCATCGGTCTCGTGATAATACTACTGGGGGTGCAACTGCTCTTCTAATACCAAAAGTTACACAAAAGGTAAAGAGAGAGTTGGCCATTGCGAAGCAGGTTGTCGAAGAAACCCGCACACCAGAAGACATCGAGGACGAGGCCTGGGATACTAGCATGGTTTCCGAGTATGGAGATGATATATTCCAGTACATGAGGGAGCTTGAGGTAATTGTTCTTCAAGCTTATGGAATGTATTTTGTTGTAGTTAACTAACACAATTCCCAGATGAGACTCTTACCAAATGCCCATTATATGGATAATCAAGCGGAAATCCAGTGGTCAATGCGATCTGTACTTATGGACTGGCTTGTCCAGGTTCATCATCGATTCTCCTTGCTGCCAGAGACACTTTTCCTATGCGTTAACTACATTGATCGATTTTTGTCATGCAAGATTGTTTCCCTTGGCAAGCTGCAGCTTGTTGGTGCTACTGCAATTTTCATCGCAGCCAAGTACGAGGAAATCAACTGCCCGTCCCTCCAGGAAATTATCTACATGGTAGATAATGGGTATAGCGCGGATGAAATATTGAAGGCGGAACGTTTTATGCTCAGCATGTTGCAGTTTGAGCTAGGATGGCCTGGCCCGATGAGCTTTTTACGACGGATTAGTAAGGCAGATGATTACGACTTGGAGACCCGGACGCTGGCCAAGTACTTTCTGGAAATTACTATCATGGACGAGCGCTTTGTTGGTTGCCCTCCTAGCCTCACTGCTGCTGGTGCCCATTGTCTCGCGAGATTGATGTTAAGGAAGGGGAATTGGGTATGTCTCCTTCGCACGCACTACTGCAAAATGCTTCCCATTTCCGTTGCTGTTTCTATTCCTAACATCTTTTGTAGTCACCTGCGCACGTTCACTATTCGAATTATACGTACACTCAGCTGTATCCTCTTGTTTCACTGATCCTCGAATGCTGCGAGGATCCCTTGAAGCATCACTCTGCTGTTTTTGAGAAATATTCGGATAGGCGATTCAAACGAGCCTCTACATTTGTACAGGGCGAGATGATGAAGAACTTTAAACCCCCAGGAGTTGCCCGTGAGGGCTCTGCTGCCTATCCGATCAAACTTTTTGATAACCATTCCTCATGGCGCCGGCAGTAATCTGCTTCCAATACTTCTCATCCAATGTAGTCCCGATACCCGCAGCGAAAAAGTCGGCTCGTCTTTTTGTTTCGTCTCTAAAACACTACTCTCTCTATGAGGTTAACGATTAGATGAGCCCCTTCTCTCCTTTCCTCGTCAACTTCTCGTTATTTATTTTCCATTGATTTCTTTTGTTTTACCGATGGCAAGGCCGATATCTCCTACATTATACCCTCCTTTCAATCCCTTGCTATCCTGGCAACATTCGGCATCTCTTTTTCTATTCTTTTCCATTATAGCTGGCGTGCATAATGCGTATACAGGTTTAATACTGGGTTGATTGCAAAATTGGAAGCAAAGGAGTTAATTTCTAATTTTATAATGGTTTTAGTGACAGTGTTTCTTTGAGGTTCAAATCAAACAGGCAAGCAAGCGTCAATTTTCCTTTTTTGTGTTTCACACATCCGTTTCAACTACTACCCCCTCAATTGATTGATTCATTGCCATTTGGCTCTTCCCCAATCTGCATTCGCATCCGCTTGAGCTATTCTGGAGCATCAATTCGACTTCTCTGTGCACGGGACATTCGCTCGTTTTCTTTTCGTTCTCGTTTTGATCAAAAAGATATCCACACTCCTTAGACTTTGATGTTCTTTTTCTGTTTGAAACCCTTTGACTTTCTGCGAAAAATACACTCCCTCCCTTAGCCCTTTGAAATATTGTTTCTTGTTTTCCTCATTTTCTTTTATTGTGGATGACACGGGAGTCAGCGGTGTGGGTTCCTTATTTATTCTCCCTTTCGCTTTTTCTTTTTCTTTTAATATCTAATGGGATGGAATGGAATGGCAAAGGATGCCTTCGGTGGATCTTGTGTTCGGCTCCGGGCAGTTTGGCGTTTTGTTCGGAATGCGCAGTGGAGAATGGAGTTTCGGCATCGGCTTTTTTCTATCCCACTACTGACTACCAGTTATCTGTTTTTTTCTTGTTTTTCATCCTCTAGCTTTTACTGATGTTTTCATGGTTAATTTTTTTCTTCTTCTTTTTTTATCTTATTACCTCTGTTATCAACAGTTTTTCCTGCTCTTTGTGCTTTTGTCGTCCTTTCCTGTATGCCGCTCAACAATGGTGGTGGATGTGTTTCGCTCTGGTTTGCAGTCCATTAGTTAGCTTTTTATAACCAGCTTTGGTCTATGTGTGTGGTATGGTACAGCTCTCTGTTTTCCTCGTTTCTAGAGACGATTTCTGGTGCCTAATCAATTACACCAGCTATATTTTCTCATTATTGGGAGTTAGGTTTAATATGCTACGAGTAGGTTCTCAGTGTGAATGAGCATATCGTCTTTATACCTTTATTCCTGCCTTTGATTCTTCCCTTTGGTTGGAGGATTAAATGGATATGCTGGCTATAGCTACGGTTCGAACGTCATACGCCTGCAGTAAACAGTATGTTTCTGGTGAGAATGGTTGGTGAGTAGGCCGACGTGTAACCTGCCACAAAACCAGTATATCCTCGCTGTATTTTCTCTATGCCGTCTGTAACTAAAACTTTTCCTACAGATCCAACCAATGTAGATACCTGAAACTAAATGACAAACACCGGATGTCCAAAAAGATTTCCAAGACAGGTATATACGTTGGTATAGATATATATACCGAAAAAATCGACGGTAAACATTATCATTATCATCATCATCATCATCATAATCATCTCATATTCATTGGTCCTGCCCATTGAAGACAACAAGACGCCGTACTATATCAATCACCTGCTCTTCGCCCTCGTCATCGAGGGCCAGGTTATCCAGCTTCTGCGCCAAGGCTTTGTCAAGCAGCATGCGTAGGCGGGACGCTAACACGCCAATCCGTGCCCAGCCGCGAAGTCGCTGCCATCCATCCACGAGCACTCCCCGACCCAATGTATCCAGGGTTATAGGCCCGGAGAAGAGGAGGAGGCTGTATGCGTTCAAGGCTAATATTTGGTATGCTGTCAGTTTAGGCAGTTATGTAATAGGTGATGTAATAGGGAACATGACTCACGGGTGAGGTCGCGTATAAAGACTTTACTCGTAGCCATTTTGGTAAAGTAGCTCACGTACGTGGCGGAGCCGGAAAAGCTCTGCGCGTCGAAGAGGCTGGAGCTTGGGTGTACGAATACCCTGCCGTTTTCTTGGTTGAAGTATTTAATCGTGCGGGCATCTGGGTCTAACTCGATTGTCCCGGACATGGATGCAGCGAATTTCTTGTCTGGGAAGCTGATAATTGCGATTTGGGGGTTGAAAGCTCCAGCTATCAGGGCGCGGAGGAGTAGTGTGTTAGAATTGTGGCTGTTCCAGCGGTTTGTCGTGGGGGGTTTGGTTGTAATTTCATCTGGAGTTTTATAATCCATGGGGAGTATGCCAATATCTTTAAGGGAAGATAGGAGTTGCGATCTGTTTGAGGATATTTCACGGAGGGTTTTTGGCATGAGAAAATTTTCATTGCACCAGGATTGTGTTTTCCAGAAGCCTTGCTGCTTGACTCTTTCCGACCATTGCTGGTACGCTGCCAGGTCTATCAGTAGATCTCCGTCTCCGCAGGAAAATGCCGCTCGGGCTTGCTTTGCCTTTTCCCTTTTGTCCCTTGGAGATACGAAAGGACTTTTGACTGTAAGTATTGCAGCGATTGATAGGCAGGATTCAACACACCCAAATATTGCACCATATATCATCAGTTTCGCTAAACGCAGATCAGTTGGGATCATTGAAATATATCGACCCAGGGAGGTTAACTCCTGGTTATCGAGCGCCCCAATACGGTGGAGTAGTTCAATCGCACCCTCTACAGCAACGTTCTCAGGTGGGGTAAGTGTGTTTGCCAGAAATCCTGCTACGTCTTGGATTCCTCTCATTGTTTTGACAGATAAACATAGCTGTTCTAGTGGGACACGTCGTATCTCTGGTTCTGGCCTTGGAGCCATATTGGCCTCAGCCTTCCGTGTATACAATTTGTAGCATGTTCCACTACTCACTCGACCCGCTCGGCCTCGACGCTGTTTACAGGCAGCCTGCGATGCCCAAACTTCTTCCAGACGGACAATGTTGTCAGCAGTGTCATAACGTGTCTCTTTAACACGACCCGTGTCGATAACAGCAACCACATCTTCAATTGTGATAGACGTTTCTGCGACATTGGTGGCTGCGATGACTTTCCTTTTTCCGGGAGGTGCTGGTATGAAGACTCGTCGCTGTTCACTTGGGAGTAGAGATGCATGTAACGGCAATGTATGTGCAAATGGAAGATGGTTTATAGCGGCCAAACATCGGTCAATCTCCATCGTTCCAGGTAAAAAGATCAGGATACCGCCTGGCTTGTCCTGTAGTTGAGAATCAATGTAACGAACGGTAGATGCAATTAAGTCGTAGTTAATGCCCATTCCGAGTTTCTGGAGTATGGTACCGACATTTGGGTCTACAGAATCATCTTCATTGGAACCCGAGTTTTCGTCAAAGGCCAACAGTGAATTTCCTGAGTTGAATCCCGTTCTCCTAATGACATCATCGATATAGAGATCTTTAACCGGGAATGTTCTCCCGGGTATGGTAACAAGCCCAATTTTACAATCTCCCCCAAAGTAACGTGCAAAGATGTCCGCATCCAATGTAGCACTCATTAAAATGAGTTTAAGATCTCTGCGATGCCGAAGTACATCCCGCAACAGAGCCAAAAGAAAATCTGTATCAAGGCTCCGTTCATGAACTTCATCAACAACTACATGACTAATATCTGCAAGGGAGCTGACAACGTCTGGGCCGCCTGTGTGCATACGACGTAGCAGAACACCCGTTGTCATGAAGGTAATCTTCGTCGAACCATATTTTAGTTTGGAGTCACCCCTTACAACATATCCGACTTCGTCACCAACGGTGGAACAGCGCTCGTCACTAACACGGTCCGCAAGCCCCAGAGCAGAAATCCGTCTAGGCTGCGTACAGACAATGTTTGCAACTGAACCAAGGTCTCTTTTTATCATATCGTCCAGGATGAACTGAACAGACTGGGTGCTTTTACCGCTTCCAGTCTCACCCGATATGATAGTGACTTGATGAGAATTGACAGCATGGATAATTGCCTCCTGCATACCCCATGCAGGGAGCGACTGTCTAGCCTTCAGCATTTTCAGTTGGGCTGGGGTAGTTTGTTGAGTTTCCCACCTTGTTCGGATTGCAAGGCTTTGTGGCGTCCCAGGACTTAGGTTAAGTGGTTTTGGTGATCTCCTAGTTGATTGAGAGATTCCTTGGGTAGTTGTCACAGCATTTCCATCGGAAAATGACTCGATAGATACGGTCCGTAATTTCCCTGGATTTTCTAAAATGCGAGGGAGATTTTCTTCGAGCCAATCTACTAAATTGAATATCATGGGTTCTCCAAGGAGGGCCTTATTCGCGTGCTGAACGGCCTGTCGAATAGCGCTAAGGCGTATGTACGCTGGAATTTCTTTTGCTGCGATTGATAGAATAGGCGGGTAAGTCGGGTATGAAGCGGTTGATGGTTGTTGGAAATGGAATGTTGTGGTGCACGGTAAATTTGAGTTGTCAGATTTAACCTGACAAGTAATCGAGGACGTCTTTGTATATCTCTCGCCATATATTGCTTCCAGGGTCAAATGCTCTTCCTCCCAAGCCCCCGTATCGACGTCCTGAGAATTATCCAAAGGCAGAACCGCGTCATGTAGGAGCATATGTTGGAGTTGCTCGGCCGTCAGATGTTCATTGCCACCATTTCTATCAAGAACTTCGGCGCAGAAATCTGGCGAGTAACCAGAGATCGCAAGTCGCTTAACTTTGGATTCCCTAGATAAGTCACCACTGGCTAGACTTACTCCAGCTGCATATCCTTCGGGGAGACTCCAAGCCGGGAGATCATCTTCTGGAATATGTATCAAGAGCCATTCTAAAACCTCTTCACGGTCCTTGCATTCAGACACCGCCTCTTCAACATGGCTCCTCCTAAAACCTAGCCCCGTTAACTCATCAACAATC